TATATACAGGGTGAGCCATTTTAATCGACGGATCCAAATTGCTCCTAAAATACGCCAGCTACAAAAAAATGGTTAAGACAAGAATTGTAGACGACACCGGGGGTCATTTTACCGTGCTAATAATTTTGAACTTCAGATCGATTTTCAAGGTCATTCGAAGGTCAAAGTCATTTTTTTTAATTAGAATTCCTATTTTTGACACCGGATTCAAAAAGAGCAGAAAATTTTACGTTAAAAATGATATTTAGATTTTTTTCTCAGTCCAAGAAGGTCAAATTTCCCTTTCAATCTGACGAGTACTAATATGAGGATCATAATGAACAATTGCTAAAACAGCAACAGCCTGCGCATCATTTTCGTCATGACATCGTCGTTGTCGAACGATGATGTCCATTGCGAGCTCTTTGAGTTAATCTTCGTATTGTCGTGTTGTTTGGATGTCTCCTCTCTGGATAGCGTTCAGCATAAAGCTTTGATGCAGCATAGTAATTATTATGACATTCCTCTAAAATTAATATCATATCAACAATTTCATTAGGAGGATAGTCAGCCATATTTAAAAAAATTTTTTCAAGTTACCCTGCACTCAAAAAAGAAAAATTGTTAAAGGCAATACTTTAAAAGTGTTTGTTTTTACTTTTAAAATTTTATTTATTACGCCTTATTAATAATCATATCAAAGTGAGATTATTGCGCATCAATTTCGGAAGTGGAATGACAACGTTTTGCAACTTTTCTTCTATTAGTTTTTATTTGTTAATACCGCGAAACACTTATCATGCATAAAAATCTTTAAAATTAACATTAACAGCTTCTAAGTTGTTTTTAATCATTTTTTATTTGACCTTCTTGGACTCAGAAAAAAAAATCTAAATATCATTTTTAACGTAAAATTGTCTGCTCTTTTCGAATCCGATGTCAAAAATAGGGGTTCTAATTTTAAAAAATGACTTTGACCTTCGAATGACTTTGAAAATCGATCTGAAGGTCAAAATTATTAGCACGGTAAAATGACCCCCGGTGTCCTCTACAATTCTTGTCTTAACCATTTTTGTGTAGCTGGCGTATTTTAGGAGCAATTTGGATCCGTCGATTAAAATGGCTTACCCTGTATATACATTATACATATATATATTTATTTTATATATATATATAGTTTTGTGATATCCGTAATAATAGTCGAAATATTAATTAAAGAAAATTGATGAATGATCACACGCGATATGGTAGATATAGTTTACTTGAAGGAATTTTGTTGGTTCAAACAAAATCTCATTAATTTAACCACTCAGGGTGCATATATTTCAAAATATCGTTTCTCAATAAATTTAGATATGTAATTTCGCTTTGTGACTGCAACCGCGTTATTAAATGTTACACAAGGAATTGCAATCTTAACAATTTATAGTGCGTTCAACATTTACAATGACGTTTTTCTTTGTTAATAATCTCTTTATGAACAATGGACGAAATCTCGAAAAAGGGAAATGGGCCAAATCTTGAAGAATTATTCAGATATTTTTTCGATTCCCAAGCGAGGCAAGCCGTTAAATGATTTTCTTGAAATAATTCTGTCAGAAAATTTTGATAATTTTTGTGGATTTTTTAAATTGATTCTTAAGTTATAAGCTTTTGTTTGAGACAAATAAATGCATGCTATATACAATTTTTAAGAAGATGGAATTTATTTACTCGCAGCGAGTCATTCAAAGTTCCCTTCTTGGGAACTTATGTTTGCGAAATTAACATAGAAATCAGAAGGATATACAAGACGCCAAGATCAAAATCATCATCAAAATGAGGACCCTTGTTCTATAGTTTTCCTACTTCTTAGATAGCTATATTTCTCCATCGTGAAATGAAGTCGGGGATCGCAATTGCATGCAAATGCAGGTGGATGGGTACTTACACATTCGAGTCAAGTGTCAAATGCTCTTTTCGGAATAAAGTTTCTACATTTTCACTCCGCACGCGTTCGCGTTTTCCCCACAAACTTTCTACTCTATCTCTTTATCGATCGCATGGCCGATCTAACACACGATAACGTATCTGTCTGATATAAAACGTTTGCACTGCAATAAGAAGCGAAAGATAATATCGGTGCGACATTTTCGTTACTTTGTCTCTTCCTCGTTTGAGAA